GAATGAATGGGTTTACCTCCTGGGTTTGGGCATGGGCTGCCCCCTGTAGAGGGCGGGTACATGTCTTGGACCTGGGGGGTATAGAGTGTGTATCGGGAATAAGAATGAAATGTATCGTTATTGTATGTCTTTGAGTGAATGAATGTGAGATTGAGGTTGGGATAGTGTGATTGTGTATGTGTATGAATGGGTATTTGTTAGGCCGAGACTCGGACTGCCCCCTCTTTGATACAACTGGGGGTGCTTGGCATCGCGCCCCTATCGCGCGGCCCCCTGGTGGGGTGTGCCCTTGCCTGCCGGCGCGCTTGGGGCCCTTGGTATCGGGGGCTGGGCGCTTGGGCGTATGTCGGCTCGGCCTGGTGTCTGCCTGGTGGGGCTCGGGTCCTCTGGCCCTATCGGGCCTTGGCCTGGGTGGTGTGAGTCCTCGGTGCCCGGGCCTCGGTGCCTGGACCTGGACCTACATCGGTGCGGCGGGTGCCGACGGGGGCCTATGAGTTTGTCGCTGTTGGCCCCGGGGGGGTCACTGTATGTGGTTGCTGGTGGGGATCTTCCGGTTCTCCCCTGTGGTCCGTTCTGGGGGGTGGGTGAGTGGTTCGTCCTGTGTGGGTGGCTCTGGGGGCTCCGCGGTCGGGGTCCCTCCTGGGGTCTTGGACTCTGGTCCCCCCTTTTTCATCTGCCTCTGGTCTTGGGGGTCGGGTCTCTGCTGCTTCACAGTTACTAATAAATGTTCTATTAGAGAAGCCTTATACACTTATGCATGCTCACAACCACACACAAATAGAAGCAGGGATGCTTATTTAGGCTTTATATGTAGATATATAGATATGTATGTGAGTGTATATTCATGTGTATGTATGTATGTATGTATATAGGCGTAGGTATGGGTATATATATTTATGGAAACTTACTGCAAAGCCATGAATATTTTAAGTTCTTTATACATATGTATTTTGTTGCTATGTTTTGTCATGTTCTTTGCAGGTGAACAGACAGTGGCCGGGTGTTTTGACGTGTGCTCTATTTGTATATATTTCTTATATTTTGGAGTCTTACTTTGTCTTTTCTTTCTTTCTATCCTATTGGAAAAAAAAAAAAAAAAAAAACAAAAAAACCCCAACCATAATAGTCACTATAATAAATATTTCATAATAATGGTGTGGAGAGGATGGCTGTAAGGGGAGAAGGGAGGCCATCAAAAAAAAAAAAAAAAATAAAAAAAAAAAAAATAAATAAATGGCCACCAGCACACTTCTTCTCTATTCTTCAGGCATTTTCTCACCCTCATATATGCCATTGAATATTTGAGTCAAAAACATCACTGCCATCTCTCCAAGACATTTGCAGACCTCCACTGGTCATCAGGTCCTACTGCCTTCCCCTTCTTCATTCTTTTCAGAGCTTTCCAGACTTCAGCCTCACTAATCTTTCCCACTTCCTGGTCCACAGTTTCTATGACCTCTACTCTTCTTTCTGTTTCATTCTCTTCATTCATTAGCTCCTCAAAGTACTCCTTCCATCTTCCCGTCACACTCTCCTCACTTGTTAGAACATTACCATTCCTATCTCAAGCCTAACCTGCTGCACATCCTTCCCAGCCTGATCCCTCTGTCTTGCCAATCACTACCAGTCCTTCTCTCCCTCTTTAGTGTCCAGTCTCCCATACAACTCATCATACATCTTCTGCTTTGTCTTAGCTACTTCCCTCTTTGCTCTACGTCCCATCTCCTTATATTCCTGTCTCCTCTCTTCAGTCCTCTCTCTGTCATATTTCTTCTTGGCTAATCTCGTTCTTTGAACATCTTCCTGCACTTCACTATTCCACCACCAGGTTTTCTTATCATCCATTCTCTGTCCAGGTGACACACCAAGTACCTTCCCACCTGTCTCTCTAATTTCTGTTGCTGTAGTAGTCAGTCATTTGGAAGCTCTTTCTTACCACCCAGAGCCTTTAACAGCTCCTCTCTGAATTTCTAACAACATTCTTCCTTCTTCATCTTCCACCATTTGGTCTTCTTCTCTGATTTGACTCTTTTTCTCTTCTTCACAACAACAGTCATTCTACACACAACCATCCGATGCTGTCTGGCCACGCCCTCCCCTGCCACAACCTTACAGTCTCCAATCTCCCTCAGGTTTCCTCTTCTACACAGAGTCGACCTGCTTACTCCTTCCTCCACTCTTTTAGGTCACTCTATGCTCCTCCCTCTTTTGGAAATAGGTGTTGACTACAGCCATTTCCATTCTCTTGGTAAAATCCACCACCATCTGTCCCTCCTGGTTTCTTTCCTTGACACCAAACCTACCCATCACTTCCTCATCCTCTGTTTCCTTCACCAACATGTCCATTCAGGTCTGCTCCCATCACCACTCTCTCCTCCCTGGGAATACTCTCTATCACTTCATCCAGATCTTTCTCCTCCTCATCACATCCAACCTGTGGAGCATAACCACTGACGATGTTTAGCATCAGACCTTCTACTTCTACCTTCAGGCACATCACTCTATCTGACACTCTCTTCACCTCTACTACATTCTTTACCAACTCCTCCTTCAGGACCACCCCTACTCCATTTCTCTTTCTATTCACACCATGGTAAAACAGTTTGAACCCTGCTCCAATGCTGCGAACCTTGCTGCCCTTCCACTTGGTCTCTTGGACACATAAAACATCTACCTTCCTTCTCAGCATCATGTCAGCCAGCTTTCTACCTTTGCCTGTCATTGTCCCCACATTTAGAGATGCAGCCCTCCGTCCTACGTTCTTCACTTTCCTCTTCTCCCTCTGTCTCCTGACACGTTTCCCTCCTCGTGGTCGTCGACCACGATCACCACCAGCAACAATCGATACACTTATTAGGCATTATTATTGCGTAACATTTTAGTGCCTTTGGTTTTATGGGCTGAAAAGATGCCTATTTGATAAAGTTGTTGATTTGTTTTATTGGCTTATAGATTATTGTCACTTCATAAAAGTCTTCAGATTGTTTGAGAACTGAATCAGGATTTTTCAGAATAAATTTGTGTAACATTTCTGTTTTTGAAAATGAAAATGAGTCATTACCTGAAAGAACCGCGAGAAGTCCACGTCTTGGGTTACTTAGATAATCACGAAACAATTATGAACGATTGTGCGTGAAATCTCTTGCTCTGAAGTCTTCCATGATTGGTTTCTATCTGGAGCCATTAGAGGCTAACTTGGTGCTTCTTTTATGTGGCCTGCTGATCTGCTGAATAGCACTAACAGGGTCATCTACTTTAATGAGTTTCCTTGTGAAGCAACAACTAAGTGGGAGGCAGGAAGCTTTACGATGCATCAACAAGTTTTATCCCGTAAATGGAATTAGAAAACATTCAGAAACCAAAAGTCCAGTGATCCTCTTAGAGGAGCTGAATGGACACCAATAAATGAAAAGTTTACTTTAATGATGGAGCGTCTCCCTGTGATGCCATTCCAATATACAAACGCAAGGTCTAAGAAATTATTGCAATTCAGAAACTGCCTTCAGATTTAATGAATAATTAATTTTTAATTGTTCAGGGGACTCTAATGGGATACATTGTATTACAGCATGCAGAATCAGTGCTGTGATTTCAGCATGGTGGTTGAAATCACCATGTAGTGGTCCTCTGGTGATACTGTTGGGATTTCTACTGCCGTGCATATTTTTTTAATTTACATTTACATCGTCTAAACTTTTGACACATTCTTGTGAATGAAGGACATTCATGGCCACGCAGCAACAAAGTCTGCTTCACCATTCGTCACATGCACACATTGGCTTCCTGTAAATTACACAGGGGTTCTGATTGGTTTGCAGTTTGAGGTAAAACTTTGTGCTGACCAATAGAGCGCAATCAAGTGTTCACCGAGCCGGGTCAGAACTCCTCGGGGAACATATATAAAACCCTGTACTGTGTTAGAGCTCAGCAGATCCACAAGTCAGCTCATCATCTCTGTTAGCACATCTGTTATCCTAAGGTCAGTAAAGCTCAACAACTGCTTTTCATTTCATTTTGTTTTAACTTTTTCACAATTTGTGTTATGTTGGTGTAAAATTTGAAAACTTGATAATGTGGGTTTTGAAAAAGCAAGTTGCATTGTGGAGTACACACAAAAGATAAAGTTCTGGTGTTTTTAAAACATGTTTTTTTATCATTAAATGGCTGCTGTTCATTCAAGCATCAGTGTACCTGAACAACCTGAGTGACTCGAACAGCAAAAGATAGAAACAGACAAACAGTTGATGTAACATGCTTGAAAACGTATGTTGTTAACTTGTTTGGTTATTTTCTACTTTTTTACAGAGAATCGTGATCATGCTGCTGAAACTCGGGATGCTCCTTCTTGCTTTTACTCTGATTCTGTGTCAGACAAAAATCTCAGAGGCTGCTTCGTCCAGGTGGGAGCTTCAATGTGTTTCCTATAAGAGCTGAAGTTATTTACTCTGCAGATAAAAGTACAACTGTCCCTTTTGAGTTGTGCATTTTTCTCTCTTGTTCTTTCTTAAAACCTTTCAAATAGATGGGATTATAAAAAACTGAAAAATCCAAGTATAGCTAAATATAATGTATTTTTATTTTCATTTTTTCTTATATTGTTATGTATTTTAATTGATTTGGTATACTTTTGTGTTTCTGGTGTCATTTATGACGTTGTTTTAATTGATTAACGTGAAGCACTTTGTAAAGTGCTATGCAAATAACGTATTATCATTATTATTATTATTATTATTATTATTATAATGGGTACATTCTTTATAACAAGATAAGTGTGTTTTTTTGCATTTTGATTTCATGTTTGCACGTTTTTAACCAGTGTTGTGACTGCAGCACGTGTTCAGAATGACAGTCTATTTTCATGTTTAGTAAGGAGTTGCTGTCAGATGGGGTCACACTATCGAACAAGGATGCTGAAACGTTGCTCAGATCTATCAAGGAGTTCATGCAGATAACCTCTGACGAAGCAGCTCAACAAGCAGCTGAAGAGGAGAGGTATGGTTTGATACTTCTGTCAGTTTCTGCTCATGCCCATGGACAATCCCCACAGCTCAAGCTTCTTCTTAATTAATTGCAAACGTATAAAGTGACATTTATGACATGAACCTCTGGATGAATGGTTTCTAGTTAACTATTCATGCGCCGATTAAACCATTAGACCGTTCACTTTTTATCACCTAAGTGATCGCTTGCAGTTATGCTTCTGCTCAGAGGAACAAAGGGAGCACGTCTACATACAAAGAACATGCACGACAGACTTAAAGCACACAACAGCATGAAAATGCAGCTGAACTGCTTCACATGGCGCCTCGTGGATTTGCAAGCATGCCTTTGAAATGTTAAAATGAACTTTTCTACAAATGCATGACAGTTCAGGAACAAAAGTGAAAAATAAAAACGTGTAATTCTTAGCATATAAATGCATGTTACTGTAGTGTAAGCTTCTTTTTTTTTCTGTTTTTGCATGTTTCTCTCCATCTCCAAAAGCTCGGATAGACCCGTGTCTAAACGCTGCACAGGCTTAAGCACGTGTGTGTTGGGCAAACTCTCCCAAGAGTTTCACAAACTACAAACTCATCATCGCACTAACGTGGGAGCGGGGACCCCCGGCAAGAAGAGAAGTCTATCTGAGTTATATGAAAACTACAGCAACTCATACGGCCTCAAACTTTGAGTCACTCCATCCATTCTGCGTGTGACTGTGGCAATAGACCAAGCTGCATGCGGTTCATGTTTGTGCACGTCTAACTTAAAAATAAAACGCAAAACATAAAAATGAAATATATTTTAAAGATTCTTGCTTTATTTTCTGCTTGCAGACGTTACATTTTACCAGAAAACCAAAGAATCAGCTACAAAACGGTGGCAACGCGTGTGAATAATATTAATCTAAATAAAGTGCTGAAATCTTGTCTGACAGTTTTTTCCACATATATATATATTTTTTAACATAAAATATAAAAAACAAACAGCAGAGTGAAAAAAGTGTGACTGTTTATGATGCACACATCCGGAAACTTTTCATTTAAATTTGTTCCTAAAACTTGTAGACAGTTTTGCTTAAACTCATCCTTTTACCGTAAACCTATTAATTTACCTGCCTCTTTTAATTTTTACAAGCAACTCGACAGCACAGAAGCGGGCGTGCAACACAGCCACCTGCGTGACCCACCGCTTGGCTGACTTTTTGAGTCGGTCAGGGGGTCTGGGGTACAACAACTACGTTCCTACCAACGTTGGAGCGCAGGCGTTTGGCAGACGGAAGCGCCACGGCTCCATGAGATTATACGACCAGACGCATGGTACGTATTCATCACTCCATCATAGAGATCCTTCTCTTCTTCTTTCGGCTGCTCCTTCTTCAGGGGTCGCCACAGCGAACTAACTCGCACGAAGACTTGGTGATTGTTTTTACACTGGATGCTCTTCCTGACCACCGAGCTACCACCGCCTCTGTGTGGAGCAGAGAGCTGCATCTAGGGGCCCGGGGGAGCAGATGGTGGGGGTTAAGGGCCTTGCTCATGGGCCCAGAGTGGGGCAAGTGAGGGTGGAGGCAGGTGTGGGTGTTTCACCTTTCCCACTCACATTTTCCACATTTTGATGTTGTCAGTCCAGGGAGTTGAACCGGTGACCTTTCGATCACAGGCCCACCTTCTCTAACCTCTGCACCACCACTCCCCCATCACTATCATAGTGACGGAAGTGTATAAGTATGAATTACGCATCCACGTGCACTTGAATCAACTGAAACAGTCTGAACCAATAACACGAAGTTTTCTCTTTTGAAGTTTTGATTTTACTTTTTCTGTTTTCAACAGATTTTATATCTATAATATATATATCCCTGATCATGGCCATGTGTTATGCAGATTGTGTTGTAAAAAAGACAACGTGCACATCTGAAGGACAAAGGAAGAAATGTCAGGTTTAAAAAAGAACATTATCTGAAAATCATATCTTTAGGAAATAAAAACATTTAATCATCCACTAGATTATGATTTTTTAATCTAATAACTGTTTGGGAATCACCGTGTTGGTGCTAAAATACTACGTTTAGGTCTTGGTATTTTTCATGGATTCAATTAAAAAAGTTAAGACGTTTTGTCTTATGTAGCAGACTGCTGAGAAGAAGTTCTTAACGTTCAGTTTAAAACTGCTCCTTTGGTAAATTGTCCAAGTAAGAAATAAAACGGGTTTCGTTTCTTGAGCCTTTTCTGCACGAATCAGTCACAGGTCAAAGAGACGTGACTTGAGTAACAAAAAACATCTGCAGAATAAGATGTCAGATACTGGAGGGAATCTTAAAAAATTAAAAATATTTTAAAATACAATAAATTCTGGTGTTTTGGAAGAAAGAAACGAGGCATGAATTAAAATGTTTGCCCATTAATGTAGATTATTTTAAAACGTGCAAATGAAAGTTACGTCAGTGCTCACCTTTAAAGAAAATGTAACTAAGGACGCATCCTGCAGGTTTATCTCAACTAAAGACCTTTGTAATATTGATTCTGTCATCTTCCTCTCACTGTACAGCACACATCTAACCACTTCTACGTTTTCTCTTCATTTTTAGGTCTTTAAGACGAATCGTCTCTGAGCGGCAGCTCGGCGTCATCATCCAGTAACAGTATACAATCTTAGCATCACTTTGAAAAAAAAGCTTTGCAAGCATGAAATAGTTGCAGTCTTCACTGTTAGTGCTTAGAAGATGAGAGATGAGAGAAACAACACGATTTAAAGACCACTGAGACCGTTTACCAGCTTAGTGGGACGAGACAAGATTCCTGTCTCCTGGTTTCTTCACGTGATCAGCGACCTGTGACCTGACCTGTGCATCTGTGCTGCCAACCTTCAACCACTGCCTCCATGTTAAAACATTTTGCAACTTGTTTCAAGTGTCAACATTAAACTAAGTATCAGAAGGATTGTGACTAAAGTGGAGGAATAAATAGTGTTTTAGCTACATTGAGCTTTTGGTGTGTATCGAATGGCTGACATGAAGATGACACGCTGATCATTTAAATAAAGTGCATGTAATGAATGTTGTATGAGAGATCAGAGAAATAAATATTTAAACCAAACTTCGTGTAATTCTTGAATTATGGGTTGTAAATTATGACAATTGTGATGTAACACAATCCTGTCACTTTTAAACTTTTGTTTTAACGCGCCACACTTGGCTCATTACGCCATCTGGTGGTAATAATAAGGTAGTACACCATTTTTTTTTTTTTTTTTGGCACCCCCATTCATTCTGAAAGTAAAGTTTCACTCAAGAGTTCTGCAGAATCATGCTTTACTTAATTTGTAGAAGAAAAAAAAACAAGTCTCTAACAAAACAAATAGGATGTTTTGTGACGACATCATCTCCACTTGACATCAACAAAACCATCAAACTCACTTTTATCTCGAGTCACTTTCTACAGAGGAATGAAGATTTGTATCAGAGTATCATCACATTTATCAGTGAAAAATTATCTTAATCCTCAAACTCACCCCACATGCAACAAACCAGAAAATAAATAGTAATTAAAGATAAATTCATCTGGAATCATGAGGCCAAACAACGGTTTCTATCAAAGTTCTTCACTGATTCACGTTTGAATCTTCTTCTTTACGCTTCTTTTTATCTGCCATGGCCACATTTGTTATAGAACTTCATTAAAGCCAAAGAGGATGAATAATTACAAACCATCACGTGCAACGTTAAAAGCTGGGCATGTTTTATTTGTTCCATTTTAAAACAAATTGTGATAAAATAAAAACTTCATTCATTATCACAGAAATTAGTGATTTCAATACAACGCTCAGAAAATAACGATTGGATGTGTTTCATCAAAAATTGCCAATACAAACATGAATGTAACTTAAAGTACGCTTGGTGTGGTAGTAGCTGAGAGTCATTCACAACACATGGGCCAAGCACCAACATCATTAAGACCATGCAATATTCCACAACATCTCCTGAGATTACACAGAACGTTACTTTTAAGGTTTGATAGCTACAAATCTGCATTTTTTCAACAAAGTTTAAAACTTTGTCATAGCAGCCTGCATGCATTCCTTCATGAAACACAGCAAGTTCTAAATGGGAACACTTCAGTTTTAATAACAATAATAACATCTGATCACAATCATTCAAATATTTTCCTAACCTTTATCAGAAATTATTGTCCGCTGTTCCCATTCATGTTTTAATAAAGTGCACCAAATATTTCAGACATTCTTTGTGATTTCATTTGCTGAAGCTGAACAAGTAAAACTTCTGAAACAGATCACTGCCACCAAAGGATGTTGAAGAAATGAGCAGTTACAATTAGGATTAAATCATTTGCTGCAGGTGAAAACATTTTAATCACCACGATGAGTCGAGTTCAAAAGCGCCGCGAGTAAAGAAACCGACAGAAACAACTTGATTACCACTCGTACTAAACTGAAGCACAGGTGGGAGTGAAACTTTTAGTTGTTCTGGCCGAGCAACAAAAAGTTTAGTATTTTTCTTCTTGATGGAAGCGTCCCCGAGGCGTGGCCGATCCAGGCCCAGCAGCCCGAGGCGTGGCAGATCCAGGCCCAGCAGCCCGAGGCGTGGCAGATCCAGGCCCAGCAGCCCCCACGAGGGCACAGACACCATTTCTCACGAGGACCTGTGCAACAGACCTTGAGCTTCAAGGCTGCATGGCTGATCTAACAGCAGTCTGATAACTTCATCTACTTAGTTACTTTATTTATAGTATTTCTCTACTGGGAAGTAAAACCTGCACAGCTGCTGGTGAAACACCTTTAAGGTAGAATCTAATTTCAACCAGTTCCATTTAAAACATAACGCTTGATTTTAGGTGTGTATGTAAACACACACCTAAAATCACCCCCTCCCCCCCCACACACACCATAAATGTAACTAAAGTTACTTTGACGTAAACATTCTAAAATATGTTTCAAACGAACCTTGACAAGATTTCAGTTGTTGAAACAAGTTCAGAGAGGAGCCACTTTAATAATCTGTGCTTCCCTCGAACAGTAATGTTTGCAGTCAATGACACAAAAGTCTAGAGGGACGTTTGTTGACGGGGGAGGCCAAGCGTGAGCTCCCAAACAGAGCTAATGAAGGGGCTGCTGGTGGAGCTTGTTTGAAGCAGAGAAGATGCCAGATCTCTGGAGGGTTCAGGACAAACATCTGTCACTTTTGTCTCGTCACCATCTGCTCTCCAGGCTGGAAGAAGCTGCAGGATCTTTTGTATTTTAAAACAAAGGAGATTGTTGCAGGTGCCAGCTAGATGTTAGATTAACTTACCATATTTTTTGGCCTATAAGCTGCAGTTTTTTGCATAATTTGCATGCTCTGCGACTTGTACACCGAAGCGACTTATTTATGTTTTTTTAATTTCCATATTTATAAAACAATTTTTGGCTGAGATATGACGTTTTCATTCATTCTGACTGAAAATACTGAACACTACCAAAAAGAGTCCATGCTCAATAATCCAGGTATATAATCCAACAATTTTCAGTCAGGTCATCTGGACAGTTTCTTTTTTTTTTTGCTGAAACACAGAACTGGTTTGTTCCACTTTGGAGTAAGCTGTTGGGGGAAGAATCAGTTTTGTTGCGTGTTTCCTTGACTGATGAAGCCTTCTGGATGGAAGGTGAAACGTTTCAGAAACAAAGAAACTGTCCAGA